GTTTGAGTTAAATTCTATAGTCGTTAATATAGAGATAACGAATAATGTTTGGATAGTTCCCTAAGCAATTATAGACGCGTTTCTCAATTTCAATATTCTAGATTAACCTTAGGTTTGTAGTTGGAACTTTGATAAGCTTAGTTGAACAGCCTAAGTAAGTATAGATTACACCAGACCTGCCAGCCTTCAAGAAGTTTATGCCTAACGGATATTTGATATAGTAAACTAGGTAATCACTATCTATAGTTACTAAGCAAGCGTAAACTTCCGAGCGTCATTAATATTGAACAAAAGAGTTTAAAGATAAGAAATACAGAAGAGTGCCTGATGGATCGGTTTGTCCTGCCCTTACAATATCTTAGCATCTATCTTTCAACCTTTATAATATCTTTTATGGCGAAAACGCCTCTGTCTGAACTTTCTCTTAATTCAGGGCAAAATTTCAACAAGTTGAAATATACTGAATTCGACGGGAGTGTGGGAGAAAATGGTTAATGGAAAGACTAAGTCATATGTAGCAGAACCCAGCTCCTGCTGGCCTTATATACTGAGCTCAGCTACAATAGTAAGCTAGGGGGTGTAAAGTGGCGGGATTACTGAGCCAACTATACAGCACTCCCAAACCTTAACCAATTCTCATGATAATCACCGTTGAACACCATGTCGAATCCACATGTCGCCTCCTCAATCCAACCAACGGCCTTGCGAGTCGGAGACCTTGCAGCCACCCACTTTTCCGCTACCTCAGAAGCCTAAGAACTGCTGGGCTAATGAAACACATGGCTTCAGCAATAATCAAACTAAGAATCTATAGTTCATGAGAGCAAATCTATTTATAGTAATGAAGACCCAAAACGTCAAAGCAGATTTGGGAACCGTGATCGAAGCCCTAAAAACGGGAACTTTACTTGCCCTACTTATAAAGAAGGGAACCTAGGTTAGAGCCGCAAAACGAGAATCTGAAAACCAAATCTATACAGCTATTTATAACACCGGCTTCCCTTCTAACCGCACCACTAAGATTTTACCCCGCCCCGGAAGCAGATCTCTTAGTATCTCCCTTACCGAGCTCAGTTAAGCATCAAATAACGGTACATACCGGATGGTACTGGTAGCCCGTGTACTCTGGGGCTGGGTTCCGCCATATGTGGCTCAGTCTTTCCATCAACCATTTTCTCCCACACGCCCATTGAATTCAGTGTACAGGGGATAGCGAAATCGGCTTCCGCCTAACTACTTCGCGAATTTAAACTTAGCCACATTGCCAAGACGCTGGCTGTACTATCACTACATGCACTCGCCACACCTCTTTAATATCACGTGCGCGCCAAGCCAACTTCGCTATGAATCTCTGACCCGGTTGGCCCACGATCTTCGATTCGGCCGTGCCCGCGGAATCTTTTAGACCGTACTCCAGCTCAAACTCTTTAACACTAGATAACGGCAATTTTGCTACCTTCTCCTCCCTCGATTCAATGTCTCCTTACTTCGGCTTTTATAAGGCCCGATCCGATTGGCTGATCCAAGCGTCCGACTGCCGATGCAGGCTTGACGTGGTCAATGCATCAATCTCAAGTCTGCCACCGAGCGCAGGATTCAGCCTCGTGAGGCTGAGTGCAGACGACGTGTCTACGAAGCCATTCTTCTTTCATTCTCTACTTCCCCTCAACCTACCTTCTGGTGTGCTAATGACAGAGCTGTGCTTAATATCACGATGAGCTTTGGTTTTAGCGTTAGCGATTTTATCACGGTAATCGAGCGTGCCAAGAAGATCCGAAAGGAATTCGCTCTTGCTCCGAAGCAGTTCAAGGATATCAAGGTTGAGTATGTTCCCCAAGCATATGATTCACTGCCGCTAATTTCTCGACTTGACAGAGTCCGAAGCCTCTCCATTGTTCTCCAAGATGTCGATATCGTCCTATCCGAACGCGAGCTCAACGACCAGCAGAAAAAAGACCTGAAGGATATTGTTGACGCCTGTCGAAATGTTCTCGACGAGCTAGAAAGGACTCTGGACAAGTATAGCGAGCTAGAGCCAAGGCAAAGGGATATTAGCAAAATGGTAAAAAGGGCATGGAAGCAACTGACGTGGGAACCTGACGACATCTGCAAACTTCGAAGTCGTATTACTTCGAACGTCATACTATTGAATTCATTTAGTGAGCGGTTTACCAGAGACAATGTTGTTAAGTTAGTACAACGTCAAGATAATCAAGAGCGTGATCAAGAGCGTCGAGCCATACTCGACTGGCTCACCAAAATCGACTATGCCAACCAGCAGAACGACTTCATTAATCGGCGGCAGGAAGGAACAGGCCAATGGCTTCTAGACTCGGTAGAGTACCAAGCTTGGCTGAAGACCAACAAGCAGACGCTGTTTTGTCCAGGCATTCCCGGAGCTGGGAAGACGATTCTCACATCTATTGTGGTCGATGATCTTCATAAGCGATTCCGAGGCGATGGCACCATCGGTATTGCGTATATATACTGCAACTTCCGGCGTCAAGACGAGCAGGAGGCTGACAGCTTGCTCGCGAGTCTATTGAGGCAACTCAGCCAGGAACGAACTCCCCTAGTAGACAGTGTGAAGACTCTCCATAACTGCCACAAAGGTAAACCGACGCGACCATCACTCGACGAAATCTTAGGAGCCTTCCAATCTGTAGCGGCGACATATTCGAGAGTCTTTATTATCGTTGATGCACTCGATGAATGCCAAATTTCTGATGGCTGTCGACAAAGATTCTTGTCAGGCCTCTTTAATATCCATGCAAAGTGTGGGGCAAATCTCTTTGCAACTTCACGGCCTATATCAAGCATCGAAAAGGAGTTTGAGGGAAATGCAACGCTAGAGATCTGTGCCAGCGAAGAAGACGTGCGAAGATACTTAGAAGGCCATATGTACCGGCTTCCAGGATTTGTAGTTCGGAGTCCTGAACTACAAGAAGAAATCAAGACTAGAGTCGTCAAGGCTGTAGATGGGATGTATGTGGTTTATTTCGAGCACTAACCCAATCACGCTAATTCTGCTAGGTTTCTGCTTGCACAGCTCTATCTCGACTCCTTAATCGGGAAGAGAGCGCCAAAGGCTGTCCGAACCGCCTTAAAGAATTTGGCCACAGGATCTAAAGCATATGATCACGCATATGAGGATGCCATGGAACGGATCAATGGCCAGGTCAAAGATCAGGAAGAGCTTGCCAAGCAGGTTTTGTGGTGGATCACCTGCGCAAAGAGGCCGCTCACTACTTCGGAACTTCAGCACGCCCTTGCCGTGGAGATTGGCGAGTCTCAACTTGACGAAGACAATATTCCACAGGTCGAAGATATGATATCGGTGTGTGCTGGATTAGCCACAGTCGACGAAGAAAGCAATATTATCCGCTTAGTCCACCACACAACGCAAGAATACTTCGAGCGAACGCAATCACGTTGGTTTCCGAATGCAGAGGCTAATATCACGACAATCTGCGTTACTTATCTCTCCTTTAACATCTTCAAGGATGATGCATTTGCTGTCCTAACAGAGACGAGCGACGAAAAAGCACTCAATTTATCCTCTAAATATCCGCTCCTTCTATACTCTGCTCAATATTGGGGTTATCACGCATGTCGTGGTCCAGAAAGCAATGTGGTAGACTTGATTCTCGACTTCCTTGGACAGGAATCCAAGTTAGCATGCTTTCTGATGCACGCCTTGACCTACCGATATGGAGCGTCTGGCCGACGAACTGTAGCTGATGTTCCGAAGTTGCAAATTGCGGCATGTTTTGGTTTAAAAGAGACAGTAAAGGCCCTTTTGGAAAAAGGGGCAGATGTTGAGGCGAGATCCAGTGATGGGTGGACGGCGTTGAGTTCCGCAGCCTGGAGCGGCCAAGAAGCAATGATCGAGTTGCTCTTAGAAAGTGAAGCTGATATCGAGGCCCAAAATGAAGCCGGGTGGACCGCTCTGGCGAACGCATGTAGAAACCAACATTTTGGCGTTGTTCGTGAACTGTTGGCGAAAGGCGCAAATATTGAAACAAAGACCAAATCGGGATGGACTCCTTTGCTTACAGCAGCCTTCCATCAACACGAGTCTGTTATCCGCCTTTTGCTGGAGAAGGGTGCAAACATTGAAGCAAAAAACAGCGAGGGATGGAACTCGCTAGATCAAGTTGCATATCGAGGTGACGATGTTCTAGCAAAACTATTGCTAGATAACGGAGCTAGTTTTGATACGAAGTCAAAAGACGGGCGCACGCCATTGATGAGAGCAGCTTCAGCCAAGAATGGTAATGAACGTACTGTACAATTGTTACTTCAAGCCGGATCAGATAAAGACATTAGAGATACTCGCGGGCAGACAGCGTATGACAAGGCTGCATATTTTGGTAATACGGCAATCATGCATCTGCTTAGGTAGGATCTTTATGTTTCGAAATGAATCTTCGAAACGATTGACAACATTTGATATATCGAGAGGAAGAACAAATGCTCTTTCGGACCTCTCACACAATAACCCTCCTAGCCATGGAACGTCTTTTGTGCAACTCTAATTTGCACTCTTGCTGTGTTATTTTCTCCCTACGCCTATGCTACAGTATGAATAAGATCTAGATATTTCAAGTCGGAGCGCGCTGCGCAACGCTAGAAAAGTGCAAGAGTACTATAAGTAGGTTCCCATCACGTGTTATGCAGCTACATGAAGTACTGCCATTATGATACCCCATCTAAAAGCTTACACTTCTTGAATTCTATAGAGATCGTTGCTAGATATACAAAATTAAGAGGCATTGAACTAGAGCGCGCAGCGCGATGCTAGTTACCCGTTAGTATTTAACGGGGCAGACGAAGTTGTCTTGACTTAGCTAGCACGTAACAGTGTTAGGGTGTGGCGCAACGATAGAAGCATTAGCCATAATTATGCTAGTGTAGCCATAAGCGTCTTGGTAATGTGGCTTCGTTTAAATTCTGGGAGTGTTCAAGGCGGAAGCCGATTTCGCTAGTGACTGTAGCTCAACGGAATCAGCGGGGACATCATCTTCCTTTTCATCGATTGAAAAGGAAATTTTCGTCGGACATTCTTTTATTTTCATTGTGTACACTTAGTCGATCGTTTACCGCGTTGCAGCGGTCCCAAGGACCCACCGCGGTGGTACCCGGCGCGCCAATGGCCATCTCAACCCCTGAACATAACCCTAGTACAACACCATTCCCAATCGAACCGGCAGCACCAGGGAAGGACCGTGTAAGGAAGCTCACCGAGAAGAGCGCACAGGATCGAAAATCACAGGAACAGCCAGACTCGTCCTCAGATGAACTCGAATGCATCCAGGTCGAAAGCAGCCAGCCCACCCTGCCGATAAAGAAGAATATCACGAACAAAGACCTACTCGCCGCCCTGACGGGAATCATCCAATAGCAAAACGAAACCATCACCAAATTAGGACGCGAAATCAGAGAGGTCAGACAAAAACAGTAAATTCTTATAGACTATAATATCAACCTCACTGATGAGATCACTGAGCTCAAAACGCGTGTCAGCGATCTCTTAGCAGGAACCCCTAGCACGCGTAGCTGGGCTTCGGTGGCGGCAGCAGACGAACCTATAGAATCGAACGCCACCCCCAGAACATCAGCAAGCCACAAACGCCTTAAGGAAGCCGGGTTCTCCCCCTCTGACATACTCTACTGCACGATTGACATCTCAAGAGTGGGAGGTAAAGATAACAGGGCGTCAGCAGACACAGTTAGAGCAGCAGTTGAGAAAGAGATCCGTATAATAGAGAACCATAAAAATTAGCAATACCGTGCAGTGACTGTTGACTAAAGGAACTAAAATTAAATTAGAATCACATGTCGAAATGAAGCTAAGCACTAACTAGTTAAGAGAGTGGTAGAAAAGATTAGGGTAGGTACCTACATACTACGCGACAAGCTCTATCTAATTAAGGTTAATAATATTAAGAGAACAGTAGTGCTAGATAAAAACAATAAGATTAGAATAGAAGCAGTAGAGACCTTCAGTAAGGAAAATAAAATAATAGTTACTAAAATCATATAGCTAAGTAAGAAGGACGTTCCAAAGGCCTACAGATTAATAGTAATATACTTAACTAAGGGTAGCGATGTAAGGAGACTTATTACGGAGGGCTTCTTTTATACTAGAGAAGAATCTAGCACGACTAGCGCATTTAAATACTAACTACAACTAAAATAATACTATAACTGCCAAGAGATTAGCCATAAGGCCTATTAATATAAGAATGTATAAAAGTGTGTGAGATGTACTAAAGAAGCCTATTATCACAGAAACTATAATAAAGCAGTATTAAGGTGTATTCTGTATAAAGGACTTTATAAATTATTTAGTAGAAACTACTAGAAGCTTTATCTATCTTAAAATAAGTAGAACATTTAGCATGATCTAACTAAATATAAGAAAACAAGACAAGGTACATAACAGTCTAATAAATAATAAAGAGATATAAGATATGATAGTATTAGTAATTTAAAAACTATATATGCAGAGAATCTAAGGCTGGCTCCTAACAACCCTAATACAGCATTATAAATAGACTAAGATAGTTCTATTAACCTGGTAAGAAGAAAGATAGCTAATCTAAAGCATACTCTAAATAAATAAAGAAGTAGAAATAAAGTAAGTATAAATAAAGTCTTTAGATATAATAGTAGTAATTATTTAGCTCTATAAGTATCAGGTTCTAGTTATATTAGTCTATATACCTAAAGGAGATCTATAGATATTACGAGAATTATATAATAATCTGCGTAAGGTTATTTATAATATTAGGCGAAATACTAGCACGATAATAGACGTAGTACTAGCTAGAGACTTTAACTAATATAACTAGCTATAGAGAGGAGAAAATATGGTATTAGAAAGATAAAATAAAGCAAATCTAATTATTAATTTAATAACTAAATTCATACTCTATAGCCTGCTCTTGTAAGGCACGAAAACATGGCATAATAAAAGCTATAAAATAACTATTAACTTAGTTCTAGTATTAAAAGAACTAGCGGATATAGTGCTTAAATACATAATACATAACACAGAACACAGCTTAAATTATCAAATAATTAAAATAGTTTTTAATATCTCTATTCTAATACTAAAGTAGTAGAAGAGGCTTCTGCTTAAAAACACGCCCTAAAAAGAAATTAATACTAGAATTACTAGGTTACTTAATGTTACCCTAATAGAGAGTATAATATAGCAGAAAATAGATAGACTAATAGCGGCGGTTTTAAAGGCGGTTTATACTCTAATACCTAAAGCTAAGCTATTACTATATATAAAGAAATAGTAGACTTAAGATCTAATATAGTTATATTATATCTACACCTACTAGAGAAACCGCGCCTGAACTAAAAGGTAAACGGGATATATTAGACCTAATCTAAAAGAAATAGTAAAAGAAGCATTAAAGTAGTATTATAATACTATTTAGTAATAAAAGAAAAAGTACTGGAATGAGTTCCTAGCGGATAATAATAATATCTAAAAGGCTGCTAAATACCTAAAAGGTAATAATAAAGTATTTAGAAAAGTTCTATAACTTAATAAAGCTAACGGGACAACTATAGCTAATTATAAGAAATAAATAGAAAAACTACTAGCTACGTTCTTTTCCTTACTCTCTAATAATATTAATAATAAAGGGCCTAAGCTATAAAGACCTTCTATAAAGATACCTGCCGTTATAATAGAGGAAGTAAAAAAATAGCTATTTACTATAAAGTTATAAAAGGCTTCTAGAGATAATAGTCTACTTATTATAGTCTAAAAATAAATCTAACTAGTAGTAAAATACTATATCCTAACGTTATTCTAAAAGTTACTAAAAGAAGGCATGCTACCTAGCTAGTAGCAGTACGCTAAAATTATTTCTCTTAAAAAACCTAATAAAGAAAACTATATAATTATAAGAGCGTAGAGACCAATCTTACTTTTAGTAACACTTAAGAAAGTACTAAAATTAGTAGTTATAAAGAGAATTTTATATATAGTAAAGACCTATAGCCTCCTCCCTACTAACCACTTTAGAGTCTATAAATAATAATTAGCTGAATAAGTACTTATACTTCTATAAGAGCAGATATACACCGCGTAGCGGGGCTAATAAATTATTAGCTTAGTTAACTTTAATATTAAGAGAGCTTATAATAGAGTATATAAAGAAAAACTACTATAGAGAATAAAGACGCGAGGTATACTAGAGTAATTACTTCAGTAAGTAGAAGCTTTTTACTTAAAACATACTATAATAATTTTTATTAACGGGTAGTTCTTTAAGGTCTGAAGTTTACTATAAGTAGGCCTACCTTAAGGCTCTCTACTATCTCTAATTTTATTTCTTTTCTTTAATATTGATTTAGTACAACGTTGAATTAATAGCTATAAAGAAGTAATAGCGTTTATTAATAACTTTACAGTATAAATTATAAGGCCTATAGTATAAAGTAATTAAGATAATATCAAAGCCATTATTAATAATACCCTAGACTAGGAGAGAAAAAGTAGAGTAATATTTAAGATAAAAAAAACAGTAATTATATACTTTACCTATAAATTATATAAGAGTGCTATGGAATTCTTTACTATTAAGAGATAAACTATACTACTTAAAGACTAAGTTAAGATACTTAGAGTACTTATAAACGCTAAGCTGAAATACCAAAAACATATCACAAAAACAGCTGCTAAAGGCCTGGAAGTAGTAATAAAGCTTAAATAACTTAAAGATCTATTACCTGTAACAGTATAGTAGCTGTTTATATTAATAGTCGCCCCAAAAATAGACTACACCTCTAGCGTCTGGATACATGCCTTTAAAGACAAACTTATAAAGTCTATTAATAGAGTTCAAAAAATAGGAGCATAAGCTATTATAGGAACTTTTCTTATAGTGGTAATAAGTATAGTAGAAGCAGAGACTTATATCACCAGCGTATAAGAACAGTTCTAGAGACAGATAACTAAGCTATAAATAGATATTTACACGCTATTTGAAACCAATCCTCTTTAAAGGAACATATCCTAAATATGAAAATTTAGAAGATAATATTACTTACCGCTCTATCAAGTGGCAGAAGCGCTTAAGGTCATAATAATAGAAGAGTTAGAAACTATTAACCTATGTACATTAGCACCGTGGGAGAAAAGAGCGTAGACGGTTACTAATAACTTAGCACTAAAACTTAACACAGACTAGATAGTACGCATCACCGTGAGCAGCTTATCGCGGAACAGTATAGTAGGAATAGGCAGAATAATTAAAATCCAAAATAATGAGATCCTATCCTTCTCCACCACACTAGGCAAGAGAGAGGAATAAAACCCGTACTCTGGAAAATTAGCAGCGATAGCAAAAGCTCTAAGCATACTACCAAAGCTTAGGTTCTATAACATTATACTAATAACGAGAAACAAAGCCGCCGTACTTATACTAAGAAGACCTTATCAATAGTCCGGACAAGAGTACATCAGCCAAATCTACAGATCCATCAGAGCATTAAAGAGAGACGGAAACACGATAACAATCCTATGGCTCCTATCAAGCGAAGAATGCGAACTCGCGAAGGTCGCCAAGCAGAAGGCAAAGACAGCAACAAGACTAGGCGCCACGCCACAGATACAGCTTCCCAGAATGCGATCGACGACACTCAACATCGCACGAAAGCACGGCACCGCCAAGAAGTTGCCAGAAAATGTCAGGAAATATTCTAAAACAATCGACACAGCACTACCGGGAAAGCACACGCGACAACTCTACGACCGACTGTCACAGAAAGAAGCCAGCGTACTCGCCCAACTCAGAACAGGTATGGTAAGGCTGAACACATATCTCCACCGGATCAGAGCTTTGTCGACAGATCAATGCGAGTGCGGACAGGCGCGAGAGACAGTAGATTACTTCCTCTTCCAATGTAGAAGGTGGACAGCACATCGAACGGAGATGCTACAATGCACAGACACAGGTAGAGGGAATATGTCCTTTTACCTAGGCGGAAAAGCCCCAACAGACGACGAAAAATGGACTCCAAACGTGGACGCGGTCCGAGCAATGATACGGTTCACAATAGCTACAGGATAACTTGATGCAAACTGACAGTAAATAACCTAATACACCTCACCTATTACACCGACCTAACCTACTAATCACCTCATGTTACAAAGAACAGACAGCGCTTCAGCCACCGAAGATAGGAAGCTGAACACTTGGAGAATGCACTCTGAGCCAGTCTGTAATCAACATTACTAACCCACGAGCAACCGAAGAAAATTGGTAAAATGAAGTACAAACCATTAAGGGAATTCTGTATGGGCTTGAATGAGAGTAGAACTCACTAGAGGAAGTGGAACAATGCTGATGTAAGGGCTGGATGAGGCCAAGACCACCGTAGGAAGTGTAGTAGTAGATTAGTGCTAGTAGCCCTTTCGGCTCAGCCGCCGGGCGTTAATAAATTGTGTGTGTAGCTCAACGTATGTATGTATATATGTAAGTTCATTATGGCCATGCACCCTAGGGTATGGGCCGTTACCAAGAGCCAGCTAAATACATCCTTTCCCTGGAGCGCTAGCTCCAGTTCAGAAGCCAACTGTGAGAACTGCTTATCCAAAAAAAAAAAAAGCCCCATCATTTGTCTGCTTTCAACATCCCATTCCGTAGATCACCGCTACGCTTTAATTTATCAGGCATTTCGTACAATCCTTCACATCCTTTCTATCTTAGGTCGAGATGCAACGAGTTGGGATCATGAATACGAATCAACTGGTTGCAGTGCAATCTTTATCGTTCGTGATTCGGCAGAGCGATAATGCGAGCGCCTACAAATGATTTCTAAATTCCTGATTCGCTAAAAAA